CAACTTTCAGTCTAGATACGACCATTTGGGGCAGCTTTCTGTCTAGATACGGCCATTTGGGGCAACTTTCAGTCTAGATACGGCCATTTGGGGCAGCTTTCAGTCTACATAGGGCTATTTGGGGCAGCTTTCAGTCTAGATAGGGCTATTTGGGGCAGCTTTCAGTCTAGAAAAGACTACGCGGGGGAAGACAGCTGCGTCATTGTAGCTGCATTGGGGCCAACGTTCAGTGCAGATATGTCTATAATGACATGAAGTTCTACTGGGGGGGGGAAGACGGGTACGTCATAATTATAGCTGCATTTGGGACAAATTTCAGTCTAGATACCGCTGCAATGACCGTACTATGTTCTATAAGGGGGAAGACGGCTGGATTGCACCAGAAATTGGGAGATGACTTTCTGTAAAAGGGCATCACAGAGTCCAGAGGCCCAAACGGGGAGGTCATTATTGCAAAGTTGCATGCGCGCCTGCCAGGGGCACAACACAAAGATTTCGGCCGAAAAGGGCATTCCGCTCTACCCACATCTGTCAGGGGCATTTTGGCATATATATCAAGTTATGGGGGTATTTTGCAAATTGTTCCTGTTTTTTTAACAAGCAGGCTCTGTTCATTTGATACTGGTTTATCTGCGACCACTTCCTGGCACAAGAAAAACTTTATGCACCGGTCCGCCCTTGGTGGTCGGGTACATGGCAGGTCAAATGCTGCTTGAATCTAGCGGCAAACTGAAAATATATATATATATTCTATTTGACGATATATATATATATATATATATATATATATCTATCGTCACAAACAGAACTGTCCGGTAAAACCGTAGGCAGAGAGAGAGAAGAGGACAACAAACGAGGGGCTGTGACAAACTGTTTCGTCGGAGTTTATATATATATATATATATAGCGGAAAACCTGAGTACATCCAATTCAACCCATGGTGCAACGCAGAGACCACCTGGGGCCAAGTCCCACTGGCAGCGTTGAGCTACCTCAACGCCTGAATCTGGACGCTTTTGTGGAGATGTGCAGAAATGGTGTTGAGTTTCCTAAAATGCAGGTCTCCACAAACACTTCCAGATTCAGGCGTTGAGGTAGCTCAACGCTGCTAGTGGGACTTGGCCCCTGGGAAAGACTTCCAATTGAATACTTCGAATTCATAACAGACTGAAGAGTTTTATCCCACCTCACCCCATTTACCCCAAGCTGAGGATCTAAGCCTCCCATCAATCCATTTTTTTAAAAAATTAAAATAAATAAATAAATAAATAAATAAATAAATAAATAAATAAATAAATAAAATAAAAATAAAGGGGGAAACAGTGGCTGTGGCACACTTTTGGTTTGAAATAGGCAACAAAAGACAAGGACTTAGTGGCGGGGATGTCATGATGCGAGTTCCTAAATGCGCAAAAAGTTTTTTTTTTTTTTTTGAACGTAACATAAATACAATTTAAATAAGTTCAAATAAATGTTTCAGAGCTTTTGTCTTTAAAGTTAAAAGTTTTAACCACCAGTCCGAAATGTGGAAAAAGTTTAGCGGGGAACCCATGGCAGTCATTACTCGCAGTGGCGCATGGCAGATTTAGAGGCTCGCCACACAGGCTGTCGAAAACCAGGGACCAAGGGCCTCGTTAGACACTCCTTGTGGACCCGAAATCCACAAGGAAATGATCGTTACACCTATCCTTGGGGACGATCGTCGAAAAAAAATGTGAAAACACCACAAGGACGTTTCCTTGTGGCGTCCTTGTGGCCACAACCAATTTTCCCTAAACCCCAAGGGACCTCCCGAGGTCCCTCGCAACACAAGGAAGCGCGAAATTCGGAGCGACGAAGGCATGCGTCGACGCACAATTTCGGTTCCAGGGTGGTCCAGACGTGGTCCGCCGAAAGGGAGCACGGACATCTGCCCGTCGAAAGTCTGCTCGTCGTCCCAACGGCTCCAAACGGTAACCAGCGGCGCGAGGCCTCCGTCCGTCCGCACGACTCGACGGCCACCGCCGTCGTGCAGTCTGCTCCGGCGGGCGGTTGTCGACAACGGTCCGAAATTCGAAAGTTTTTGTACACGGCTCCCCGTTCGGCGACGACAGTCATTCGACAGGATCGTCGTTTTCTTCCACTGCCGTCACGCCTCGCACGTTTGAGCACAGATCTTCCACCGATCTTCCTTGTCTCGACGACCTTGTTCGTTGAACGGTCCACCGCCGACGTCGGTTTTATCCCCTTCGAACGGCCCTTACATGGCCGACCTGCTGCACAGGCTTCCCCTGCTGTTCCTCGTCGTCTTGCTGCTTCTCGCCATTGTCTTCTACAACGTGTGTCTCGTCGGCCTCGTCCCGGTCGCGTCTCGCAGAAGGAGATCTCCCAGGAAGGCCGACAGGATGGCTGGACGACTGTCGAACGGCAGACCGGCAGGCCCATCCGGTGGATCTATCAATCGCCAACGCAGTGCGGGGTCGGTGGCGAAGCAGCCGTACGACCTGAGGTTGTATGCGCACCTGCCTTCTCACGAGATTCCTCTGCCGCCTTCGGATGACGAGGGGGGGGAAGCCAGGTCGCCGACTTTGCCGTTGGGAAGCGGTTCTACGCAGGACTGGGCGGCGACTCAATCGTGCGGCGGCAAGGGGGTGGAGACGCCGTGGTCTTACACGTCACTTCTAAACGAGGGGCTGTGCGATGACGACGGTGATGCGGCGGTTGATCTGAGCTTTCATCAGTCGAGCAGCAGCGGAGCAGCCGCGACGCACACTCGGATCATCAATCCCCACCTGGGTGGGGATTGCGCGGACAACACGCCGAGCGTCGGTGGAGGTGATCGTAATAACTCGTCGCCGAGCGTCGGTGGAGGAATCGGTGCGCGTAAACAACCGAACTGGATGCGCTTGTCGCCTGCGGCGCGAAGTGGACCCGGCGGTACTCGAGGGCGGCAGCCGGCGGAGGATTTGATTGGGGGAGTTCCGGACGTGCAACGCGACGGTAGGCAGGTCTGGGCAGAATGCAGGCAGGAGTTGCATCGAGGTGAAACGGAGACGATCACCAGAGGGGTGCAACGGCTGCACGTCGACGAAGTGGAAGACACGGCTATTGATGAGGGGCAGGGGTGTGACAACGTGGACGACGAGGACGGTTGCAAGTCCGACGATTTGCCAGACATCAGGCCGCTTGGGAGGAGGGCGACGAGAGGCGGATCCGGTGCTAAGAAGGGCCCCGCCATGAAACCGAGACGGACGAAGAACATGGATGACGATGGCGAGGGCGGCCAAAATTTCTGGTCGGTGGGAGACATGGTCGCGCTCGTGAGGGCGAAAAGGGATCAAGATATGTATATCGCCGGCCTGGGGACTAGTTTCGCCCGCATGAAAGCGGCCGCGTGGAAGTGGGAGGACGTGCGGGTGAGGTTGCAGGCGATGGGAGTGACGAGGGATGCCGTCGACTGCGGGAAGAAATGGGACAACTTGATGCAGCAATTCAAGAAGGTGCACAAGTTTCAGAACCTCTCCGGCGGGAAGGACTACTCCAGGCTTGCTTCGAGGGAAAGGCGATCGGAAGGCTTCAGCTTCGTCATGGACCGGAGCGTGTACGACGAAATGGAGGCCATGACGAAGGGGGATCACACGATCCACCTGACAAATTCGGCGGACACTGGGGCGGCGGGTG